AATTAATTTTAAGTTTTATTTAAAATTGAGACTACAGTTCTCATTAAGAGTTTTAACATTTTATTTTTTTTATATTGCGCCTATTCTTAATCTCATTTAAAACCAAGACCTGTAAATCAAAGATAGCTATCTACGATAACTTTTACTTAAGGGTATGCCCATTGCAGATGCAAGTTAGGTGTAATATTACAGTACTTATATAATGTTGATATTACAACATTACGATATTGATTTTATTTATTATTTTTTTTAATAAAGAACTGTAGCTCACAGAGAAGTTTTATTGCTACTGTTGTTACCATAATACCATGCCAAGCCTTTAACGTAGATCATTATTAGATTTATTTGATATATATATATATATTTGAAGCTTAATATATATATGTACTTAACCTATTTAATTTAGCATAAGCTTCTGGCGCCCATTGAACAATACCAAGGTTTGTATTTCCTACTCCCAAATGCCCGACTGATTCCAGTTAGCCGTTCGCAAAGGCCTTATAAAATTTACTAATTAGTCCTATTTCCTACTGTTATAACATCAGGACATAAAAATAAGGTTACAATACCTACATAAAAATACATTTAAAGACCGAAGTCCACTTTAACAAATGCATTATAAAAATTTTGATAACTTAAAAAAACTGAAAAATTTCCTTAATCTTAAAACATTTGACAATATATAAGCAGTAATAGTAACAAAATCCTATTCATTATTCTTTCTCAATCTGGTTATGGCCCAAATAAATAACCAATATAATAATACAACTTCCATACCCATTCATGACCTTTGACAGTTTATACGTATTTTGAATATTAAAAACTATTTATGAACCAGTTTTCCTTTCTATGTTTTTTTGGAAACCATTATTCCGAAACGGAATACATACTATACATATATGTATATATAATAAATTATTAAATAGGTTTATTGACCAATGGCCATAGAAAACCAATAATTGCAAAAGGGTTTCCCCTCATTGGCATCGAACAGTATATATTTCCACTAGGGGCATTACCTATACAGAACCATTTACCAAACATTCGAAGCCATTTGTGAATTGGCCGAGCCGTAGACTTATTGGGACTGTTAAAAATACCTACATGAATGGTTTTCAATCTAGGTCTACCCTGCTTAAAATACCCTATAGAGACCCTGTTCAAACCGATAGATATTTGTATCGGAATGTATGGTATTTCTATAGGGTGTATCGGTATGTATAGGACCCATAGTTGGGATTTATGGTTGTTCTATAGGGATATCCACCCTTGATTTATTTGCTATTTCAATGGGGAAAATACACATAAATGTAGAAATGAGTTTTCCCCTCATAGGACCCCATAGGTTTTAATAAAATTTTGTCAAATGTTTTATGGTTGCTCTATAGGGATATCCCTATATATCCTTCATTGAGTTATTTGCTATCGGTCTCAATAGGGAAAATGTAAAAGTTATGGTGTGCCTATAGGTAATTTCCTATACATTTTCTATCGGGCCGTATCCGGAAAAAAACATGGACAAATGCACATATTGAATCCGGTAGAGACCGATAGATTATTTTGCATAGGTCTCTATAGGGTATTTTAAGCAGGGTACACAAGTTAACACAAAGACACAATGTTTTTGATTTCAACCTAAAACTTTGACAGAAAGATGGGCTGACAAGTTGATGCGCAATGGCAAACTGCACATTCCCCGAGTTTCCTCCCACTGTCAACTATTATTATTATTATTACTCTTATCCAAAATAATGGAAATAAAGGAAATAGACAAGCAAGTAGTATACAGCGAAAGTTTCCCGGATCACTGTGTACCAAATCATCAAACGTTTTCTGAAGTTGTAAGACGGCTTCGGGAAACTGTTAGATTTATACTGGCTAGCAGGGGAGGACCGTTACCTTTTGGAGGGCATGGGTTAAAGCTTTTGTAGGGCTTATAAAAGTTTGGGTTTTGTCAAAAATATTTTTTATATTTATAACTTCTTAAATTGATGCACTTTCATACAGTTATAATAAAAAAGGGATTTAATTTATTCGTGTGAATATAACAAATATAAATAAAAATAAATATAAAAGGCATTAAGAATTAAAAACAAAACAACATTCCCAGTTTAAAAATAAAAACCAAGAAAAAATAATACTTATTCTTAAAATAAATAAATATTATAAATAAAACAAATAAAAAATTCTAGGATTTAAACAAGGTGTCCCAAAAAAGCCTGTACAATGTAGAGCCTCATATAGTCACGGCCAAATCTATATGGGTGCACGTCATCAATGAGATATAATGACGTCAGCATTACCAACTTTGAATTGTAAAGTTACTGCCATTAAATTTACTTTTTTAAGGCGTAATTCTGATGTGTTATTAAAAAGAAATCATTCATTTGCGTATTGTTTACCAAGAACTGTAACAATTTCCTTGTTTTAAAACGTTTTTTCACGAAATTATCAAAATAAAACCATTCACTTAGTAATTTTTGTGTGTGCCAGTTGGTAATAGCTTAAGGCTGGCGCGCACCGTTCAATATTATTGATGGGTCGCTGTCATTTTATATTTGACGTATTTTTGTAATTGTGACATTTCGTCCGGAAGCATCGTTTGTTGCAAATTATTATAAATAATATTATACATTATGTTTATAAGATTCAATCCCTGGATTGTGCAAACAATGATATAAGGCTTGTTGGCAACTAGCCGTTATTAGATTTCGAAGACATTGCGCCCTTAATAATAAATTTAGAAAAATAATCAGACTTCTGACCTGGTTTGCTCTAATGACAAGGACGACTGGTAATTTATTATTTTTGTGTTTCTGATAATTTAGTATTTTTTTGTTATGTGCATATGTTATAAAAATGTAATAAACTCCGTTTGGTTTCTCTTTAAACACATTTAATAAAAATTTGCCTGTAACAAACTCCTAATTAGTTAGTGCAGAAGATTATAACAAGGACGTTATAATTCCATCTTAAGAACAGCCCCCACCGCTATAAACAGTCAACAATACACGAGCGTTAGATTGTGTCTGGGCACGTATGAATAGACCTTAACGCTAACGTCATATGCCGTTGATGACGTGCACCCATACAGATTTGGCCGCGACTATACTCTTTTATTCAAAATAAGAGTTAAGTTTGTAAAAAACATTTTTTTTTAATAAACAAGGAAACAAATTTGTTTATAGGTAAGTTGGTTGAGTACTAAGTTAGTACCTATTTGCAGTAAATAATTTACAGATATTTTTGCTAAAACGATCCGGAGATTGATTAAACTTATATTTATTAAGTATTAAGTAAACTTTTCTACACTTTACCTGGGTAAAAATCCAACTAAACCAAAAAACATTTATAAAGTTTATTTATACCATATTTTCTTATTGTATTAATTCATTGCAACCTTATCATTTTTGCCAACGCTCGAAATTCAAATTTAAAATTATTAATAAATTAAAGCACCATTTTTTTTTATTGAATTGTCTTGAATTGTCTGTTATTATTATTAAGAGGTTGCTCATTGTGATTTTTTTTTCATTTAAATAACATGGTATTTTTAAATTTTTTAATTTAATAACTCCTATACTAAACTAATGGACTGAAATCAACAAAACATATTTTTATAGAAAATCAAATGCTCTTCAAATAAGGTCCGAATGATAAATATACTCGTTCAAAAGTTATTCAAGCCTAAAGTAAAATTTGTACTAAAATTTAAGTTTTTCTTACCTACTTTTTTGGCAAAACCATCGGACTTAAGCATACATATTTTTATAGAAAATCAAATGCTCTACAAATAAGGTCCGAATGATAAATATACTCGTTCAAAAGTTACTCAAACCTAAAGTAAAATTTGTACTAAAAGTTTTTCTTACCTACTTTTTTGGTAAAACCATCGGACTTAAGCCCGCTGCTTGAACTATTTGTAATAAATCCAATAGATTTACATTAAATGTAAGTAAAACTTGAAATTGACTATAAATTCTATTTAAGCTTAAATAACTTTTGAACCAGTAGATTTATAAATGACCAGAACATAATATATTATATGTTCTGATCTGATTAGTCGATTGATCCGTTATCAAGTCATATAATTTATTTAGTTTATAAGTTTAATATTTTTTCTATGTTATTTAAATGGGAAATAGAAAATCGCGATGAGGTACCTCTAATAATATTAAGAGCTGAATTTTTAATAGGAATAATTTTTAATTTGTTTTTAAATTTTGCGGCCAACAACAAAGTATTATTTGAATTAAATGCATATACTTAAGCTCCATGGTTAAATGACCCATAAAAACAAATAAAGATGCAAAAAGTTTAGCTCAAAACAGCAACACAAATAATATATTTAACTTTAAAATATTATGAACAATATTTATTGACAAATAAAATTGATTTTATTGATTGATAGCCGAATGGGTTATGACAACAGCTTGACAAGGTTGACAAGTGACAGACTTGAGTTATATCCCCGGCTGGGTCAAAACTTTTTTTAAATTTAAATCTATCAATTTGACTACCTATTTTATTCAGTAGAATTTGACTGCTTTTTCGCCAATTAGTAATATGACTTATAATTAGTTATTTTTGACTAATTCATTTTAAGAGAGTGGTGACACCATCTCTGTGTTTATTATCTAACAACTTTTAGACTAATCCAACCTCACTTTCTTCCAATTAAATTATTTTTCTATGGTATTTTTTGAAAACGTAGAAAAAGTATAGTCTGAAACACATTTTAAATTGCATATTCCACGGTGAAATCGTCAAACTCGCCTTCGGCTCATGTAACAAACTTTTTACTCGAGCGAAATATGACGTATTCCAAACTTGTTATATATATGTATATATATATATATATATATATATATATATATATATATATGTATATATAATTTTATATTGATATTCAAAATAAAATGTATTTAAATTTTAAGACTATATATATATATAATACATAATTTTAACAATATAATATTTAAAAAATAATATTTTTTTAGGAACCAGTACAAAGCTTTCGACCAGTTGGAATTGTAAGAAGATGGACAAGCTTAAAACTAAACCCTCGACCTGTAACAGAATCATTAACGTTAACAGAGCCCATAAGGTATATGTCTTCACCATCTTCTACAGCAAATTTAAGTTCTGGCCACCCTTCTTCCGCCAGCGGTGATCGTGAAACAAGTAAAAAAAGTAACTGGCAAGTTATTGAACATTTTGGTAGTAAGGAGAAAGGCAGTTTATCATCTAGTTTAATAGCGGTAAGATGTAATTTTTGTATTTAATTTTGTTTTTACTATGCTATACCATTTTACCAATATTACTTTTGTAACGATTTTCTTCCTTATAAAATATAATTATGTTGTTAAAATCAAAATTGTGATCTTTAGTGGTGTATCGCGATATATCGCCAAGGCCGTTTTTTTTATCTTCGTTGCATGTTTTGCCGAACAATCATTTTTATGCTAACTGCACCGCTTTTTGGCGTATTAGCCAATATAAAACTTTCCGCAGTCATGACATTTCATTTTGTTAACAATATTTAATGGGCGTTCTTTGGGTACCCTATCCCTTAATTTACTAAACAAAGATTCAATTCTCAAAACGTTATAAGAAGCAGTAACTAAATTCTCTTTTGTTAAAATAATGATAATCTGGTTTTGCAAAAATTAAAATTTAATATAACGCTCTTCCTCAGTTGATAAAAGTTTGCATTCATTCCTGGTTCTACTTTGAATAAAATCTTGGGTAATAAGATTTGTAAAATTGGCACGATATCCATTATTCTTTAAAATTATATTTAAATTTTAAAATAAATTGTTGGTCACTTTATTCATAAGATCTGTGTAATAGGTATATTATTAATAATTAATAATAGTACCTAATATTTTATTTTATTTTATTTATTAAAAGTATTTTTTAACAATTTTTACAACGCAATGTCCTTTATCTGGTCTTTATGTCGGGTAAAAAAAAATTAACCGGGCCTCCCCTTAAATTGACTCAAAATAGGGAAAAAAGAATGTGTGCCAAATTTCAGCTCTATAGGTCTATCCTAAATTACCCATGTGAACCACTTGTTCACTAAAAATTTAATTTTTTAATTAAAAATGATAAAGTAATTTTTAATTTTATATTTAGTATAAATAATAATAATTATTATTATTATTATAATTACGGGAGAAATATTAATCAAATTATGCATACAATACTATACAGGGTGATCCATATTAAGGGCGCACCATTGCTAACTTCGTTATTGTTGATCATATGATTTCGGCGAAATTAGCAAACAATTAGTATTTTTTCTGCTGATAGCGAAGGTAAAACTATAAAAAATTTTAAACTATACACTTTAAAGATATTCAAAAAATCAAAATTTAGAATAAAAATGCTTACTTAATTTTGAACACTCTGTATTTGAAAAATTAAAAGGGTTTTAATATTGTTTCTTTTTTTGCCCCTGCGAAGGATTTGCGGTATTCAGAGATGAGCTGAAGAGCATACTGTTTTTGGTCTTCATCTTTCGTTATTAATTGATTAAACTCAGTGAATAATTGAACCCCCCTTTCCGCAACATCATTTACAACTTTGAGATTGTTTACGATTTTTAATGCATTTTGATAACTCTCACTTTCGCTCCAAAGGGCTGGATCAATATACAAAAATTCTTGACTGATTCCGAACCGAACAAAGAAAGTTCGTGTTTGAGACGTTACAAAATCATCCATTTCTTTTTTACAGAAAATAACCATATCTTTGTATTTTAGTTCAATCCTTTTAGGAATCACATTTTCTATATCTTCAGATTGGTTTAATTCCGTTACCATGCATCGTTTCGTATTCAGTGATACTGATTCATCGAAAAATGCCATCGCAACTGATTCCGAATTAAGGTACCACAGATGGTTTTTGAATTTGTTAATAGTAATCATTGACACCTCATCGTCAATGGATTTATATTCATGCAATTTTTTTAGAAATTTGCAAGTCGTGATTGGGTGCCATAACTGCGTGCGGAGCCGTAAACCAGGCCTCTATGTACAACATTACGATGAAAATCGATGTGTCACGAACTGCTGTTCTCTCTTCTCCTGTCATTTCATATTGATCTCTAAACATAAATATTTTAAGGCAATATATTGCTTTAGCCATCCACCGTGCATGATGAAAAGCTCCAGGAGTATGGAAAAATATGTTCTTAGGTGGAATTGCATCAAGAAAAACCAAAGTTAATTCCAGGAGCTCTTTGTAGTCGTCTCTCTGCTGGCGAGTTTGCAGGGTCTTTTGTACAAAATAAACTATCCTCTGAACTTCTTTAAATGTCAGTACTTTATTAACTTCTGCATCTGCCAAACCAGTGTTATATTTGGTTTTATCCATTTGACTCCAAACTTGTCCAAAATTCTTAAAGAGGGGAACATTTGGTCCAGTTGTTTTTGGTAACTTTTTTTCAAACACGCTTCGCAGGACCAATTCAAAAATATGGTGTCTGCAAGGTAGCAGATCCATTTTTAACTCCCAAATTTGACGCAGTTGTATCGCAACAAAAAGCTTTAACTGACTCTAAAAGTCCCCAATCTTGAAGCATTTCATAAACCGCGTTGGCTTGTGTTGGCCCTTTACTATTTGGTAAAGCAGGAACGCCAAGAAGCTTCTCAGTCTTACCATTCGATACCAAAACTGGTAGTCTTTCAACCATTTCTCGTTTTAAAATATCGAATAGGAGTTTTCCATCCCAATGTAAAACAAGAGCATTTAATTCAGTATTTTGAAAAATATTTTTGATTTGGGTGGCTCTAGCCTCACGTATTTTTCGGCGATAATATCGAATTGATGTTCTATTTATCGTCAATGTCTCTACATCGATTTGCTCCAAAACGTGACCATGAGCAATGTCAAACAAATTTTGAAGTTCTGAGGTAAATTGTTGCTCCTTTTCCGTATTGAATGGTTTGTTGGCATTTTTTTGCAAAGTGCTCCATTCTTGCTGAAGAACCATTATTTTGTCAATGCACCGATTTTCTTTTTGAATGGGTAACCGTGCTTTAGCCCAAAAAATTTTGACCTCAACAAAAACAAGTTTGGCACTAACGCGTAAATTACTATTTCGTTTAAACACTTGTCGACTGTTATAAAATAATAATTTAAGTACTTGTCCTTTTGATGGCAACTTGTTCCCATAAATTTGTGTATGCAGCTCACCAATAAGATAAATGTTCTGATCACTAATTGATTCTATCGACATTGTATTGTTAAACACGAAATAAATTATCACCAAATTAATCCACTAAAAATCAAACAAAAATTACATTTGCTACTTGAAAAAAAGTAATTTAATTGACATTGACATTTTTGATATGTCAAAAATTAATTAATTTTCTTTATATACTGCATAATTTTGTTTTTTTTTTCGTGAATATTGATAAACATATAAATAAATAAATTCCCTGCCTAACAACGTAAATAATAAACTCGGTATTCACGTTGTTAGGCATCAGTGATTGGCCTATTTCAATATTCACTGTGATTTGAACCAATCTGGTTTTAAATTGGAAGAATGCGACTATAATTACATTTAAAATTGGTAAAAAGTAAGGCTAAACATTTGACAGATGTCAGATTTTATTTATTTAATTTTTAAAATCATTTAATTATCTACTTATTGGAGTAGATAAAGTATAGTATTATACTCGAGATTTTGCGCACTATTCACTCGGATGATTTGAATCTCTCGTCTGACGACTCAAGATGCAAACCTCATAATAGCCTGCATTATCTTTCGTATAATAATATACTATTAAATTGTTTAAAAGCCGTGCATAATATAAAACTTGGTATGTAAACACTTAAATTCGTTTTAATTTATCCGGCATATAGTGGCGCATTGTATACCTGGCGGCTTAATTTATTTGATTAATATGTCTCCCGTAATTATACTTATAATAATAATCATTATTTATAATAAATATTACATTAAAAATGACTTCATCATTTTTAATTAAAGTAAGCAATTTTATTTTTAAATATTTTTATAGTTTTACCTTCGCAATCAGCAGAAAAAATACTAATTGTTTGCTAATTTCGCCGAAATCATATGATCAACAATAACGAAGTTAGCAATGGTGCGCCCTTAATATGGATCACCCTGTATAGTATTGTCTGCATAATTTGATTAATATTTCTCCCGTTATTATAATAATAACAATAATTATTATTATTTATACTAAATATAAAATTAAAAATTACTTTATCATTTTTAATTAAAAAATTAAATTTTTAGTGAACAAGTGGTTCACAGGGGTAATTTAGGATAGACCTATAGGGCTGAAATTTGGCACACATTTTTTTCCCCTATTTTGAGTAAATTTAAGGGGCGGCCCGGTTAATTTTTTTTTTACCCGACATAACGACCACCCTAATGTATATGGTGTCTAAAACATCCTGAAAAAATCTTTCGCGAACATGTTTTTGCGATTTTCTGATAACCTATGCATTTTATGGAAATACAACTTGTCCTTCGGAGGGGACTTTAAGCCCGCGGTCCGTTCCTACCCCTAACCCGCACAAGCCATTCAGTTGGCTTATGGGACTTCTTAAGAAGTAAGGGTGGAACTAAAAGAGCACTTTTGTATATAAACTTTTTTGTATAACAATACTTGCTATATACTAGTATATACTAATAGGGTCGTAAACATTTTTTTGTATATGCAACCGTTACGCTATAGTGGCGCCACAAACCTCAAAAATTCTATGGCGGACTCCAGTTTTTTTTCTAATATCTCGTCGCCTATACATTTTATCGCGAAAATACCTGTGGTAAATAAAAAACCTTGTTATCGGCTACAAATTATGTCCTATTTTAAGTTCTTAACAATGGCCCAAAGTTCAGCAAGCCTTACACAAACTCAATTTTTGCCTATTTTCGCCTCCTATGTGCACTTATTGCATTAATACCTACACAATTAATTCATCATCACAATATTAGGTATCTACCAATTACGTCCTATGCATTTTATTCCGTTGTTCGCACTATTTGAGTACAGTTGCGGTGGCGTTTAAAAAACGAACAAGAACAACAAACAATCGACGAACACGACAATCACCCAATTATAGATGATGTAATACTTTTCTCTGGGAAGGACACCCCCTAACCTGGTCCTTTGGGGCTAAATAGACGAAAAACCAAGTAGATAGTCATTATACGTTTATGTGGAATAAAAAACTAAGGGTGATGTGGCAAAAATTGAGTTTTTGTGAA